TGATATTCTTCTGTTAACATTTTGATAAATTTTCTTCCACTTTTGTTGTTGTTGTGTGCCATCGAGTCGGACCCGACTCATAGCCACTCCTCTTTGGGTTTCCAAGGCAGTATCACTACGGAAGTAGATTGCCCCATCTTCCTTCTGAGGAGTGGCTGGTGGGTTTGAACCGCCAGCCATCTGGTTAGCTGTCAGGTGTTTTAGGCACTATGCTACCAGAGCTCCCCACTTTCTCTAAAAAAAAAAAAAAAAAAAAAACAAAATGAAAAGCAAAGATCTCTTCCTCAAGCCCTCCCTCCCAGTCCTATTTTCTAGAGGGCTTCACTTGAAATTATTTTGATAGCTAACTCTGTATCTGCAAATAATTTGTATAAACCTATATTTGCCTATATTTATTTATTTATTTATTTATTTATTTCAAAAAAGATCTTTTTCTGCCCTCTATGAAAGACAAGGCGTTCAGCTCGTTAATTGTTCCTCCTAATTTCCTTTTTTTCCCCTCCCCTTTTTTCTCGGTCTTTTTATTTTATGTGATTATTTTTAGTTCTTCTGTTGGTTACCTTTATACCTAAAAATAATCTATCATCAATTTTAGACTGTATATCTTGATGCAGCATTGATCTTTTCTGCAAGAGAATATCCTCTAATAAAATTTTTGGAAAGAGTAATAGTAGGTAAAGTCCTTGCTTTCTGAAAATACTCATTTGGATATGCAATGCTAGTTTCAGAATATTTTTTCCTTGAACAATTCTGAAGATATTGCCACATTATTCCTCAGCATCCTGTGCTACCAATTAGAATTCTTCTCATTCCTGGTTATCCTCTAAAAGCTTTTATCCTCTTTATTCCTTTTATAAAACAGTATTTTATCGTATTGTATTCTCTTTATTCTTGGGAGTTCTGGTGGTGTAGTGCCTAAGGCATTTGACTGCTAACCAGAAGGCTGACAGTTCAAACCCACCAGCCACTCCTCGGAAGGAAGGTTGGGCAATCTACTTCCATAGTAATATAGCCTCAGAAACCCAAGGAGGGGTCGCTATGAGTCAGATCCGACTCAAGGCAGTGAACTTTGTTTGGTTTTGGTTCTTTATTCTTGGTGTTCTGAAATTACATGATTGTCTATATGAGTCTTTTTTCATTCAATGGATCCTGCACGTTCAACCTAAAGACTCATGTCCTTCTTATTTCTGAGAAATTTTCATGAATGACTCCTTTTATTTCCTTTCTTCTGTTTTTGAAATTCTGACTCTCCAAACTTCTTTTAAATGGATTGGACTCTCTGAATTGATCCTCCTTTTCAACTTCTCTTTTATTTATTTTTCTGGGAGATTTCCCCAGAAATTTCCCCCGAGGTTTTCTTCCAATTATCCTAAAGGACTCTTCTTTATTTCTGAATCCACTTTTTTATTAACCTGTTAATGGATGCACTATCTTCTCAAATCTCTCCTGGGACATTAATTTTAAGGTAATTTTAAAAAGAAGATTCTCTTCTGTTCACTTAACACTTTCTATTTGTTTCAGCCCAGGATTTGTTCTCCTGTTTCATTATCTTAGTTGTCTTCTTTGGTGATACAGTGAAACCTGTGAGAGCTAGAACTCGGTGGGACTGCCTTGTTTTTCTAGGTCTTATAAGCTTTCCACCTTTGACAGTATCCATCCTTACCACTTTTCTACCACTTGTTTTAGTGGAAAATATTTGACTTTTCCTTCTGTGACAGGTTTCTGCCTTACACAGTTTCCAGCTTTCACAGGTGTTACTGTATTTTTTTTCCCTCAACTTTCTGATAATTATTATTGCTCTGTTTGCATTTACAGATAAAGCATTAAATTAATTAACATAGTTGGTTGGGTTAGGTCCCCCTGCCACTATATAAGTCCTGATTTCTATACTTTTACATTTGTTAGGTATGTTTCATGGCCCAGAATGTGGTAAATGGTCCACATGACCTTGAGAAGAATGTGTATTGGATGACGTATTCTATAAATGTCAATTAGACCCAGTTGATTGATGGTGCTGTTCAGTTCAACTATATCCTTACTGATTTTCTGCTTGCTGGGCATGTCAATTACTGATAGAGGGGTGTTGAAAGTAATAGTAGATTTGTCTATTTCTTCTTGCAGTTCATCAGTTTTTCTATCATGTATGATAATACTCTTTTAGGCATGTATACATTAAAGATTGTTATGTCTTCTTAGAAAAGACATAACAGCTATACTTAGTATGCTGTTGTATTTTCAAATTACTCTACTGATTCCATGGACATTCCATTGACATTAATGGGGTTAAGCATCTTTTCATACATTTAAGAAGCTTGTGTATTTTTCTTTAAATTATTTATAGCCTGTGCCAATTATTTTCCTTTGAGTTATTAGTTTTGAGGGGCTTGTTTTTATTGCTTTGTAGGAGTTATTTATAAGGAGCTCTGGTAGTGCAGTGCCTAAGGCATTTGACTGCTAACCAGAAGGCTGGCGGTTCAAACCCACCAGCCACTCCTCGGAAGGAAGGTTGGGCAATCTACTTCCATAGTGATACCGCCTCCAAAACCCAAGGAAATGTCGCTATGAATTTATTAAGGAGTCTTGTCTCTCTCTCTCTCTTTCTTTCTCTCTCTCTCTTTTTTTTTTTTTTTGGTATAAGTTGCTTGGTGTATTTCTAATGTATTTGCGTAAGTTCAACATATGTACCCCCTTTTTTCCTCAGCCTAGGGAATGGTCCACTGGTTAGTAGTCTCTCTAGCTAGTCATCTTCAAGGTAGAGTGCTTTAGCTCCAGCTTGGTTTATTTTATCTCAGTTTACCTAAATGCAAACTTATCTTACAACCTCAAAAGCTGTTATTTTTTCCAAGACTTCAGTGTTGTGTGAAGAAAGCACAATATAGTGTATTGTATACTTGAGAAAAATGCATTCCATTTGCTAATATGTCTTTGACTCTATCCATACATATACAGACCCATTGTCATGGAGTTGATTCAGACTCATAGCAGCTCTGTAGGACAGAATAGAGCAGGCTCATAGGGTTCCAAGGCTGTAAATATTTACCCAAGCAAATTGCCACACCTTTCTCTCATGGAGTGGCTGCTGGGTTCAAACCACCAACCTTTTGGTTAACAGCTAAGTGTTACCACTGTGTCACCAGGTCTCACTCTTTGAATCTCAAACCAAACTCACTGACATCGAGTCAATTCCAACTCACAGCAACCCTCCTGGTGTTTCCGAGGCAGTAACTCTTTATAGAAGTAGATTGCCCAGTCTTCCTTCTGCAGAGTGGCTGGTGGGTTTGAACTGCCAACCTTCTGGTTAGCAGTCAAATGCCTTAGGCACTAGGCCACCAGAGCTCTTTGACTCTACTCCTTGTTAAATAATAGCACTGATCCTATTTGTTAAAGGCACACTCATTTCCCTCCTTGGCAGGTTTTCATTACAAAGGGCCCCAATATCTCTGCCTGGGCCATTCTGGATGAATGAAATATAGGAAGGAGTATGGGCAAAGGGATGGGAATAAGAAGGGATGAGAGTAGGGGAAGATATCTTAATCTGGGGGCTAAGATGCTGTGGATCTCCTCAGTTGTTGTTGTTGTTGTTATGTGCCGTCAAGTCGGAGATAGTTATTTTTCCTCCTGATAGGAGGGAGTTGGTCCTTTAGAATAGTACAATGTGTATCATGTCTCATGAGCTCACAGAACAAATATTATTGATTGACTTAGAATTAAAGTATCATGGACGTTCTATAACATTAACTACAAAGGGTATATGAACCCAAAGCTGGGATCAATGACCAAGGGAAGAAAATAGTGCCATCCTAGTTGCAGAAAGGAAGAAAGGAACAGCCTTGGTAGTGCAGTGGTTAAAGTGTTTGGCTGCTAAAAGAATGGCAAGAGTTCTAACTCAAAATACCGACATTTTGAGCAGCTCCATGGGAGGAAGATGTGGCAGTCTGCTTCTATAAAGATTATAGCCTTGGAAACCCTATGGGGCAGTTCTACTCTGTCCTGTAGGGTCACTATGAGTCAGAATCAACTCTATAGCATACAACAACAATAGTTAGGTAGGTTGCGGGGGGAGGGTTCTCCTTTTAAACCTAGCGTATTAGTTTTCTACTGTTGTATAACAAGTCACCTCAAAATTTAGCACCTTACCAAAATAAGTATTTCTGTTTTAAAATCCCCTCACAGTTTCTGTGGGAGCTCTGGTAGCATAGTGGCTAAGACACTTGCCTGCTAACCAGACGGCTGGTGGTTCAAACCCACCAGCCACTCCTTGGAAGGAAGGTTGGGCAATCCTACTTCCGTAGTGATACTGCCTCGGAAACCCAAGGAGGGGTCGCTATGAGTCGGGTTTGACTCGACGGCACATAACAACAACAACAACAACACAGTTTCTGTGGCCCAGGAATTTGGGACCAGCTTATTTGGGTTCTGCCTCATCGTCTCTCATGAGGTTACAGTTAACACGCTGACTGGGGTTACAGTCATTTGAAGGCTTCATTTTGGGCCTGGAGTATCTGCTTCTAAGATGACTCACTCACATGGCTCTTGGCAAGGGGTGGAGTAAACCTTCCCATAGGGCTACTTTAGCATCCTCATGACAGGGCTGCTAGCTTTCCTGAGAGTAAATAACCCAAGAAAGAGAGAACAAAGCTTGGAAGTCACACACAAGTCAAGCCTACCATATTCTACTCATGAGAAGTGAGTCTCTAAAGTTCCAGTCACACTCAAGAGAGGTAAACTAAGCCCTACTTTTGGAAGGGAGCAGTGTCCAAGAATCTGTGGACATATTTTAAAACTATCATACTCAGCAATCCTCAAAAACACTTATCAGGGCATACTTTGAACTTTATTCCATTATTGGGTAAACTATGTGTATCAATTCATTCCATGACTATTTATTTAATATATTATCTGAATCACTGTATATGATTTTTACCATCCATGACTGGGGACTATTCAAGAAACTTTTAGAAAACGATATTCTCTTAACAGTGTTTTTTCCCTGTTCTCAGGTGTTGGTTGGATTTCTTCTTATTCTAGCAGCCATAGATCTGGCCTTTGTACTCACAGAAGATTCTGGACAAGCCACAACCCCTGCCATTAGATATACCAATCCAAGTCTCTACCTGGGCACCTGGGTAAGACCCATCACCACTTTTTACCCTGTTTTTCTTCTCTCTACCTGCAGTCTTCTAGCTGAAATTCACTCTTTTGGGATGAAATTAAGTCCAATCTCATCTAAAGAATTTGAGAAATAGAAAGAACCATCTAGTACACCCTTCTCACATTGTAGATTAAGAATCTGAAGCATGAAAAAGGTTAAGTGACTTGCCTAAGGCTGATAGTTGATGACAAAGCTGAGTCTAAAACAGTCTTTCAGTTTGTGACCTATTGTTCATTCTAATATACCCCTATGTCTCTCATCCATTTCAAGGGCATTATAATGAGGCAAAGCTTGATTATAATGGGGTGAAACTAAAGACTACAAATTTCAGCTTTTTTTTTTTTAACACTAATTTGTAGAACCTTCTCCCTAGGATTAAGTATCAGCTCTTAAAGAGTAAGATGTTCATTTTATGTCCTTCCATCTTGCCATATAAGGATCATAGATGAGATATATTGTTGTTGTTATGTGTCGTCGAGTCGGACCTGACTCGTAGCGACCCCTCCTTGGGTTTCCAAGGCGGTATCACTACAGAAGTAGATTGCCCAATCTTCCTTCTGAGGAGTGGCTGGTGGGTTTGAACTGCCAGCCTTCTAGTTAGCAGTCAAATGCCTTAGGCATTATGCTACCAGAGCTGCTAGATGAGATATAAGTTTCTGGATATTAAATATTTTTAAATACTGTAAATATTATTTTAAAATTAATTGGTGACTCTGATCATGGGTCACTGAGACTAGAATTGTTGCTTTAAACCTGATGGCAGAAACTGATATCTCTCCTGCAGGCACTTTTTTTTTTTTTTTTGGTGGTGGTTGTGGGGCCTAAACAGTGTTTAAACAAAAATTGAATTAGTTGTTAGCATTTAAAAAGAGCAAAATGCCACATCAAAACCCCTACTTCCAACCATTCTTGAAAAATTAGGGTGTCTGGCAACCATGATTCAGCCTTTCCACCGGGCCATAGTCAACTGGGCCTGAGCAGCTGTTGCCTCTTTAGACCAGGCATGTGCTTAACACACGCCCCAGCTAGCTACCCTTCACTGAGTACAAGATCCTGCCTGGATCCTGCAAGCACTTTTGTTTGCTATCACTGTTACAGAACAAACAAAGAAGGGTCTAGGTAGTAGTGTCCTAGAGCTGGCTCAAACATCTCTTCCCAACTCTGGGTTCAGTGACATCACTTGGCACTTGAAATCTGCCGTGAAGGGAATATTTACACCATGGGAATGAATAAACAACAGCATTTTTTCAGACAACTGGTTTACCAGCAAACCACTGAGGCTAGGCAAACAGTCAGCTTTTAATTAATTGTATCCAAGGGAGATGATCCAAGGCAAAGTTTTTATTTTTAACTGCTTAGTATGAAGTGCTAGACTACTAGGCAAAAGGTCGGCAGTTCAAAGCCAGAGGTGCCTCAGATGACAGGCCTGGAAATCTGCTTCTAAGAGGTCATAGCCCTGAAAACTCTATGGAACAGTCTACTCTGCACACATGGGGGTCACATGAGTCAGAACTGACTTGATGGCAACTAACAGCAATAAAAAAATCTGATATTATTTTTTTTAAAAAAAGTTACAGAAGCCTTGTACCTTATGCATCAGAATATGCCTCTCCCACTTGACTACTGTTGTGTTGTTGTTGTTGTTATGTGCCGTCGAGTCGGACCTGACTCATAGCCATCCCTCCTTGGGTTTCCAAGGCAGTATCACTACAGAAGTAGATTGCCCCATCTTCCTTTCCAAGAGTGGCTGGTGGGTTTGAACCGCCAGCCTTCTGATTAGCAGTCAAGTGCCTTAGGCACTATGCTACCAGAGCTCCCTGAAATCCATTTCCCTGGGTCTTGAAAAGGCTTTTCTGGCCCCAAAAGTAACTTCATGAAAACGCAGATAGTGATCCTCAGTTTTCTTGGATAAGTCCCCACCCAAGTGTGGTGAACAGAAATGGGATGAGGAAAGAGGTCCCAGAGAGAGCATGGAGGCACTGAGAGAGCAAGTGGGTGGTGTCAGGAAGGAAAGCTCCAATTTGGCATTTGAGTACTCTCTGCCCGGCCAGATTGGTTACAACAGTCCCCTCCTTCAGCCCCCTCTTTTCTTCCCCTGTTCTCTGACATCATTCTCACTTCCTGTACTTGATTAGTGACAATACTCTTCAGAACTTGGTGTGAATTTCCTTCCAGCTCCTAGTTTTGCTGATCCAACACAGCAGACAATGGTGTGTGCGGAAGAACTCTTGGTACCTGTCCGTGTTCTGGATTCTTTCAATACTCTGTAGTACCTTCCAACTTCAAACTCTCATCCGGACACTCCTACAGGTGAGGAGTACAGAGAGTGACAGCGAGAGGTACTGCTGGGAAACCGCTCTGTTGGAGGAAATAGTATGAAGTTGGTTGGGCTTCAGGATGACTTGTATTTAGGGCATTTGATGATGGGCTTTAATCACAAGAATCTCTCTATGGATAATTTAGACTTAATTTGCATACAGGCTCATTTTCTCTATTTATTTATTTTTTTCTTCCATAGGGCAATAATGCTAACCTGACTTATTCCTGCCTGTTCTTCATCTCCTATGGATTCCAGATCCTGATCCTGATCCTTTCAGCATTTTCAGAAAAAAATGCCTCATCGAATGTGAGACTCTAAACATGCTTGCCTAGTATATTACTTAATTTGATGGTATCTTGACAAATATAACTTTGAGAGGTCTAGGTCTCACGGACCCTGGTCTAAGATAGTACAAATTATTTTATAACATAAGTAATCAGGAGGTGAGTGGAGTATAGACACACTGACTCTTCCATTGACTCACCAATCTGCAGCATAGGCAGTTAATTCTGTGCCAGCAAATCTGATTATCATTCTACTAGTGACCTTAGCAACCCACGAGGTCTCCCAGAGTCAGAACTGACTCAGCAGTAGCTGGGTTTTTTGTTTCTTTGTTTAGTGACCTTATGGCTCCCATGTAAGTATATGTTGACCAACTGACTTCAAACATCATATCTGGTTCCTAACATATCTAGTAAATCCAACTGATTTACTTTCTAATTTTTTGTGTGTCTTTCAGAATCCATCAACCACAGCTTCATTTCTGAGTAATATTACCTTCAGTTGGTATGACAGGTAGGAAATACCTAGAGTATGGGTTATCTATATCCCTCCACCTGCCCTCTTCTGAAAGTGATGAAAAGCTGTTTTTTTTCAATACCTGCTATGGCCTCAATTTCTCTTCCACTTAGTCAGAGTCAGAGAATGTTAGAACTTGGAGATCAGTTTAATTCAGACACTCCATTGGGCAGATTGGGACACTGAGAAGTGGGTGAAGGGGGATTTACTGTTGCTAGTCTGAGGGTTCCACAGGAGAAAAGAAAAGGGGCAGTAGGATGGGAAAGGGGAAGGCTGGAGGCAGGCAGTGGGGCACAAGCTTGGAGGATAAGGACTGAAAGAGTTCTTCTGGGCTCCAGAGGATCTGGAGGAGGTACCCTTGACCTCTATATTTCCATGGACCCCTTTGGCAGGCTGGTGAAGCCTGTGAGTCCCTTCTCAGAATAATTTAAATGCATAAAATAAAAGATATAGGAGTATAAAGAAAACCAAATATATTAAAATAGTATGTTGTTGTTGTTGTTGTTAAGTTCCGTTGAGTCGTTTCTGACTCATAGCGACCCCATGCACAGCAGAACGAAACACTGCCCGATCCCGTGCCAGCCCCACAATCCCTGCTATACTTGATCCCATCATCGCAGTCACCGTATCAATCCATCTCCTTGAAGGCCTCCCCCTCTTTC